GTAAGTCTCAGACTGTGAAAGGCTACAGGTCACAGGACAGTAAGCACCATAAGAAAGTGTTCCAGAGTAGGCATGGTACCTCTCCTCATCCTTTCAAAGAGCATCTTCTTTATGTTTTGGTCAAGATGAGGAGATGGGGTAAAGAAAAGAAAATTGAGCTAGCAGACAAATCTCAATAATTAGTACCTTCCAGCAGCAAAGAATGTGACCTAGCTAGACAGCCACCCTGTCCCACTTCTGGGAGCTTAGAATCAGAATAGGCTTTTCTTTATCACTAATGGTCAGAGACAGATAATAACAAGTTTTTAATGAGAAACTGTTTAACTTCAGTACTTAAAAGAAAAAAAAAGTAAGCCCTGCTACTCATTTTTACAGTGATTCTGGTGTGCTACCTTAAGTGGTTTTATTATTTTTATTTATTTATCTATTTATTTTGGAGATAGGATCTCACTACACAGCCATAGCTGGCCACAAACCCACAGAAATCCATCTGCCTCTATCTCCCAAGTGCTGGGATGAAACAGTGCACCATTAAGCCTGGCTTCAGTGATAATTTATGCTGGAGTCACCTGGGCAATACCCTGATCCAGGCCACCCTGAAAAGCAGCTGTTTGTTCAAAAGGCATGGGACAGCTGCAAGCAAGGATGTCATGGGTCCTGGTCCTCATTTTATTTTATTTTTAAAGATTTATTTATTTATTATGTATACAATATTCTGCTTGCATGTATCTCTGCAGGCCAGAAGAGGGCACCAGATCTCCTTATAGATGGCTGTGAGCCACCATGTGGGTGCTGGGAATTGAACTCAAAACCTCTGGAAGAGCAGGCAATGCTCTTAACCTCTGAGTCACCTCTCCAGTCCGGTCCTCATTTTATTATAGGACTGCTTCATTTACTTTTAAGTGACTTAAAGTTTTAGTAATGTCTTCCAAAGTGGCTTTTAGCACTGTTCAACCTGTGCAACCCAAAGGGCTGTATCACTTATGACGAGTTTCATTTTCCCTCAAAAGTCTACTATCACCTCTACTTCTTCCAGGGCCGGCTAAAGTTTTAGTAATGTCTTCCAAAGTGGCTTTTAGCACTGTTCAACCTGTGCCACCCAAAGGGCTGTATCACTTATGAGTTTCATTTTCCCTCAAAAGCCTACTATCACCTCTACTTCTTCCAGGGCCGGTTAGGATTTTATGTAGCTCACAGTTACTGGTCCTTTTGTTGTTTCTTTCTTTTTTGTTATGTAAGACAGGCCAGATACAGTGGGTGCAGGTCTGTAATCCCAGCACTCAGCGGGGAGGTGGAGGCAGGCACAGGAGGAGTTCAAGATCATTCTTGGCTACACAGTGAATTCCAGATCAGCCTCAACTCCATTAAACCCTGTCTCAAAAAAGCAGAAACACTTTATCCACAATGCAGACTGAACAGATTTTTTTTTTTTAATCCAGGTTTCCACATTTTCTTGCCCTATTTTTTCCTAAAGAAGTTTGTATGTTCTGCTATGTATTGGCATCTCACCAAATAAATGTTTAATTTCAAAGATGCTGCCCTGGAATTTTACTGATTCAAGGTATTTAAGATCAAAGACGCCTTCAATTTATTGGTGGACTACTCTCACCACTAAAGCATAAGCTTGATGTTTTGTGATACAAAGTGAACACTCAAAAGAGCAGGACAGACAACTGCAAGAAACAAAATAGCTGAGCCTTCCATTTCCTAAATCAGGACTCCAGCAGACAGATGCGAACCGCCCTGCCCACATCATCCAAAGCAGGAACTAGCCAAGGGGGGGGTGGGGGGGGCTGGAAGTTACATCTGCTGGACTCAAACTCCTAAAAGATATTTTAAGAAAGAAAATTCTAGGGAACTGGAGCTATAGCTAAATACTTAAGAGTACCAGTTGGCCTTGCAGAGGACCTAGGTTTAACCCCAAGACCTACTTGGTAGCTCACTATCATCTGTAACTCCAGTTCCAGGGGATCCAAAGCCCTCCTCTGGCCTCCAGAGGCACTGAAAGTACAAGATGCACAGGCACACAGGCAGATAAACCACCCATACACACAAAACAGACAACACAATTCTGGTATGTAATCAACACGTAAATTACACAATGCATGAAAAAAACAGGAGTGAATGAAAAGATGCAATGTGAAGTCCATGTTTCCATATATCCACTCTATCCAACAGTCCTACACTCTGTCAAAAATCAACACCCCATTCAGGCATGCAGATTGGGTTTCTAAGCCCAGAACAGATGATGAATACCATGACAGGAATAATTACAATGTCAAGTAGTAACAGGTGGAAGACAAAAATAGGGTGGGCAGTGGCAGACAACAGTGTCCTGTGGTTGAACATATCTAAGTACTTAACTAAGACACCGACTGCTGAAATTCTTAGAATACTCCAAGTTTCTTCTGTGCCCTTTGACCAATCACACCCTTCCTGAGCCAAGCATCCTAATCAGAAAATGATGCTGGAATCCCAGTGGTCCTCCTCATCTCACAGGACACCTGAGATCAAAAGAATTTCTTATGAAAGGGCCCTGTATCACATCCCCGCATAAATAAAGGTTTGTTTGTTTGTTTGTTTTTAAAGGGCCTGGTGTTTAATCCCCACTGCCTTTATAACTTTCCAAAGGTTCTTTAAAAAAAAAAAAAAAAAGATTTACTGTTTCCAACACAGTCATAGCGACCCAGCCAGAGTCCTGCATTTCCTGGGGTTATTGGCTCAATTAGAACAACTATGGGAGAAGCTATTACGCCAGTCAGCAAAAAGAAAACCAGCTTGGATACTAAGAACCAGGAAGAGTCAGTTCACTTGAAGGACTGCCAACAACACCAGTACCTCATTTACAATGCAAAGGTAAAGAGACTCAGAGGGCGCCAGAATCCCAGAGGGAATTACAATTTGTGCGCCGCCAAGCCGCGCCTGGGCACAAGCCACCCTGTTCTCCCTGCCTACGCCCTCGGCTTCCTAAAGCTAGGGCTATAAACTTGGAAGGACCGCTATTCTGCAACGAACTTTTCAGTTGGTGAGCGCAGTACTCCAAACTTTTCTGCCTCTTTAGGAAGACTTTAATACAGACAAAACATTTGAAAAAGTTAAAACCTCGAAGACCTCAATGTTAGAACAAAGAGGAAAATTAAACCCCTTGCTTCAAAGACTGTTTAGAATCTTCTAGATGAATTACAAAGGGGTGCGCTAGCTACAACAGCGGGAAGGAATAAGCCACTCTCTGGCTCGCGTCTGACAACGGTGAGCTTCATCACTTCTAAGTGATTCCCTTCGCACCGCAGACACCCGCAGCTCCGGGATGTTAACAGCTCTGACAATGCCAATGTATTTTACCAGAGATGGGACAGAGCGGTGACAATTCTGACATGCTTCGGCTCCCGGGAGGTTAATGGGAATTAAACCACAGCAGCCCTCCTTTGTGGCGCTTTGGCCGGAACAGCAAAAGGGAGACAATGAGCGGTCTGTGAGCAGTTCCACGCGGATTGGCTGGGGCCCCCCCCCCCCCGAAACCCCTGATGTCATGGACTTGGAATGCAGGCAGGGAGGAAGGAAGGAGAGGATTTGGGGAGGGGGACACCTCTCATCTCTTTCCCAGGCCAAAAGTCCGAAAGATAAACCCCGATGCATTCTTCAGATGAGTACTCGGTAAAGCAGCATCGCCAAATTCCAATCACTCCAAAAATACAACCCGCTACAGCAAACAAGCCCCGAACAAAAGCGACCCTGCCGAGATATCGTGACAATTCAACGTGATGCAAAACTTCTCAGGATTGCATTTCTAAGTCTCCCATCTACATCTGAGCCGGCTCTCAGGCTGCGCGCTCAGGCTTTTGTCTGCGTTTCCCGCACCAAGGCACCACCGACGGGCTCCCTTTCTGCCCGCGGGTCCCAGGGGTTGGCGGGACACCGAGCGTCCCCTCCCATGGAGAAGGAGAGGAACAATGAGGGGCCCGGTTTGGCCACGTAACCGACTTTCTTCGTTTGT